GCTCGTAATCGGTAGAAGGGAAATGATGAATTCATGTCCTCCAGTCTGTTTTTGGATGCTTAAATCTGAATTAAAACTCTTTATTATCACTGAGAATAACATGCCATGCAGCTGAAGGAGAAATTAATTTATAAACCCTGGCCATGAAGATACTTTTATCACTTGCCTTTCTGTTGCCTAAGAATACTTAAAGACAAGTCTCCATATCTGTTATAGAGGATTGGTCATACTGTGCATTTTCTGTGATGACTCCAGACAAACATGATATCAGTACTGGGCACAAATTATGCATTATAAGTTTTTAAAGATAACGATACGATAATAAAAGTGTTGGTCGGCAGTGTCCATCAACAGCTGGTGGACCTCCAATTTCCTGTGACTATTGTAGGGCAGTGGAGGAGAACCAGTGCCTATTCAAATATAGAAACTTTGGAAGTACAGAATTTCCTGTGGCCTTGGGATGGTGGGAAGCTTTATCCTCAGTTTATCCCTTCCTTCTGTTTATTGAATGCTGAATAAATTAAGGAAAATATACATAATGAATATGATTTCTACATTCTACTTTATTTGTGTAGAAGTTCCTTAGTCACAATTTTTTTTGGCAAGAGTGAACTTTAACATTCTACACTGGGGCAATTAAATTCTGTATGCTTTTAACAAACAGAACAAATTGGAGTGGATCAAGATTTAGCTTTAGAGCTAGTTGAAGTTGTAATCCTTAATCCTCCAGCTACCTGAAAATGTTATACAGAAGGTTGGGAGGTCTAATGAAAGGCATTAAATTGTGTGCCAGTTGCGCCCATACCTTGGGAAGTCAGACTTGGCCATGGTGGTCCACGCTCTTGTTACATCAAGGATAGAATACTTCAAAGCTCTACGTGGGGTTGCCTTTGAAGACTGTTCGGAAGCTTCAAGTGGTCCAACAAGCGGCAGCCAGATTTCTAACTGGGTCAGCATACAGGGAGCACATAACTCCCATATTACACCAGCTCCACTGGCTGCCAGTCTGCTACCGAACACAATTCAAAGTCCTGGCTTTAGCCTATAAAGCCCTAAATGGTTCTGGCCCAGCTTACCTGTCCAACTGTATCTCCCTCTATGATCCACCTTGAAGATTACCATCTTTTAGGGAGGCCCTATTCTCGATTCCACCTCCTTCGCAAATGCGACTGGTGGGGCTGAGAGACAGGGCCTTCTCCGTGGTGGCCCCTCGGCTATGGAACTCTCTCCCTAGTGAAATTAGAGCAGCCCCCTCCCTCCTGACCTTCAGGAAGAAAGTAAAAGTGTGGTTATGTGACCAAACTTTCAGGCAGCAAAGTTCTTAGTGCAATAAGAGAATAAGGAATAGTGAACGAACCAATGGATTTGATTTTGGATGGTGTGATTTTAATAATTGTTTTTAAATCGTGTTGTTTATGGGTGAGTTTTAATAAAATGTTCTTGTATTATTGATGTTTTAATTTTTATATTTTATGTCTAAATGTTATTTTATGTTTCATGTTTTAATGTGGTTAGGTTTTTAATTTATAGTTATATGTTATTGTCTAGCTGTTATGTTTTGGTTTTCACATGTATGTACGGCATTGAATTTATTATGTTGGAAATTGCTTTGAGTTCTCTCAGGGGGAGAAAAGCAGTATACAACTGTAGTAAATAAATAAATAAATAAATGAGTCCCGCCTCTCCATCAAGTAGAGAGGCATTTGCATTCTTATCCAACACATTGCATGCCTGTTTCTTATTAATCAGTTCTGACTTTAATTTTTAGAAATGTATTCTCTTCAGCATTCACAGAAGTTTCATAACTTGTGTAACCACATCTGTCTCCAGAGAAACTGTATTGAACCATTTCACAGTGAATAAAAGATAGAAGGGAAAAGCAGATGGGACTCAATTGGGTATTTCTACTTGGTAGGTAGGGCAAGTGAGAATAAAGAAAACGACAAAGGTTAAAACTAATTTCTTGCCCCTTAAAACTTTCTTCAAGAGTTTCACTATCCTCCACTCTGATTCTGTGCTACAGCAAGGGGTGGATATTGAGGTTTATGGGAATGCTAGGAACACATTGCTATGGAGTGCAGCTGTAGCATTGTAATTAAGGCACACTCTAAGGAAATAGGAAATGGAACAAAATTGCCCAGGTAGGAGGCTTTTTAAGAAAATCAGCTTCTTTAGAGTAGTTTTGAGAAAGTATAGGTATATATGAGGTACTAAACCAGCAAATCTAGGTTTTCAAAAACTAATCGGTATGTAGGCCTCTACTTTGCATTCCCCTGAAAAATAAACAGCTTTCTGGGGAAGACTCCCTTCTCATTCATGTATTCCTTTCCCCCAGCCGCCATGATCTTGTTTCCAGAATCAGTGGCCTAATATTTTGTGATGCTGCAGAGAGCCCACCACATCACAGTGTGGCAAGAGGGGAAGCATCCCGGTTGCCAAAGCAACTGGACCAATACTGGTGTAGTTGCCATGGTAATAGGCTTATCAGCCTTACACAAATTTAGAGTGAGATCAGGACTCTGTGATGTCACAGAAGCGAATCTGGTGCATATTGTCTTGTTTATGTGATCCCTGACTGGCTGGGGTCGCTCAAAAAAAGGCCACTCCACCCATCTAAAGCGATACAGTAACAGAATAAATACATTAGTAAATTATTGCTAGCAGCAGTGAAGAAACTGCTAGACTAGTGGTGACTACTTTGTTTATTGAAGAGTCTGCTTTCTCCAGTTTTCAAGAATGAACATTCACTCTGATCTTAACAATAACCTAATAGTGACATATAGACAATATGGTACCAAGAAAACTGATTTCGGCTATCAGTTTTAATTAGGCATTCAGACGACTGGAAGAGGCAGGAAGAGATACTGGAAGAGGTACATGGGATACTGAAACTTTTAATGACACTTCAAAGGTGTGAAGTCCCCTGTACCTTATTTGCCCTTGTATGTTTTAGAGTTTGAACCTATGGTGCTATGAAGGTTTTTAGCATGGATTTAAACTCTCATTGGTTTCTGCTCTGTGGAGTGATGGTGACTTCAGAAATAAATTACCCCTTAATGGCCCAACTGGCAATCATGAGATGAGGAAAGAGATTCTTTTGCAACTTATTGGCACATCTTCCTGTTGTTAGTTTTGCTTGAAAGATTTCTACAGGAATCTACTTTTTAACATGGATGTGGCAAATAGCACGCTATTTGTCTTCACCTAAACGTTTTTTGTTTGAAAAAAGATTATGTATTGCATTAAAGTAAAATGCTTGTTTTGGTGCTACCTAAATTTAGTTCCTACAAGTCAACATTTAATTAAACAAGAAATACAGTAGTATTTCAAGTGTAACAGTCCATTTGGGGTTTGGTTTGCTAGTTGCTCTTTTCCAACATTTTAAAAAGACAATAAGCTAAAATGTTTTTTATGTTGCAATTCTATAACCTGCTTCATTGGAAAACTGAAGAGCGGAACCTGAACAGGTGGAGCAGACAGCTTTGCATGGCTTGCAAAAAGAAAAAATAAAGAGGAGGAGGAGGTGGTTAGAGCTTGCTAGCTTTGGAGTGATTTCTCCTCAGAGTTAACAATATGCACACGGTTTTGTTTGAAGCAGTGTTGTTCTCAAAAAGACGTGAGGTGCGTGGACAGGAGCTACTCAACCAGAACACAATTGATAGAATTTTGGTTCATAGTATTTGCAAACCTAACGTGCTGTTGCTGTGGGGTCATGAAAATGGCAGTGAAGTAAATACAACATTCCATACATTTTCAGGAGGACTCAGGTCAACAGTGATTTTGGGTTTTTTTTTTTATAGAAAAAGCCCCAATGTTATCCTCCTGCAGGCATGTGCCTATTTTGATCTGTAACTCTCATGTGGAAATTAATTTGAACCCTTCATTTATATTTACATTTGTCATAATTGGCAGGCTATTTTACATATTATAACATGGCTTCCTATGAAGCATACACCCAGCGGGGCATTATGTCTTCCTGACAGGTGTCTCTGCATGAGAGCTGTGTTTCTTTCAGACTTAAAAATATAATGTAAACATCTTTATCTTGCGAATTGTTCCCTTTTGGTAGTTAAAGTAATTTGAAGCTGAATAGCACAGTCCAGTGTCAACTACGATTCTTTGTGCTAATTTGGGACTCTCACTTGGTTATTCTTGGTTCAAGTCTGTACCTTATCTGCAAGATCCAACTCAGCAAATTGTCTCAACTTTTCCTGGTGAATATTGCAAGCAGATTGGTGAGCCGCCCACACATACTTGTGACCTCTGATGCATCCTTTAGGAATGGCTTCTTGCCATGGGTAGTATTCCACTTTTAAAATCCCCTGTTGCAGTGATTTATTTATTACAGATGACACACAAATGGTGGTGAACACATACTGAAATGTTCCCTGTACCGTCTTATGCTATTGAGTCTCAGTATATGGGCTTTAAGTATCAAGCTTGTTCTTGGCCTCTACTAGGAAAGTGTATTGGTTGCATGTATGCATCTTTCCTCAGATCTGAGAAATTGGTTATCATCAATAAATAGGCAACATGTGGTATTGAGCTTAAAAGTTAGGATGACAATTTCCAAACCTTTTACTGAATGCATGGCCTGATATTTCCCTCAACGGAAGTATTCTATTCCCTCTTAGCTTTATTTATGTCAAAAAATATTTGCCTTGGATTCACAAGGTGGGGTTTTGAAAAGCTAATACCTTTAACTGTCTATGAAAGAAAGAGAGTTCCAGTTTCATGAATATCTAGAAAGAGCAGGTATTCAGTATTAATTCTAGATGATTGTTAGAAGAGTAGAATGTGTTTCTTTGTACATGTCTGTCTTCACTCATATTTTCTGAAGGACCAGTCATCTACTTACTGCTCCACCTAGCTTATTTCACAGGGCAGGAGGATAAAAATGGGACATGAGGAGAACTGCCCTGAATGCTGTAAAGGAAAGGTGTCATTTTAAAAATGTACTAAATACATATTTTATTTTTCTTACTCTTTGTTCTATACAGGTGCCAATATTGCTACAGGGGAAGAGGTAGCCATTAAGTTGGAATGTGTGAAAACCAAGCACCCGCAGCTCCACATCGAAAGCAAATTTTACAAGATGATGCAGGGAGGAGGTGAGTTCATAGGATAAGAAGAATTGCTACCAATTTAAATAAAAGTTAGAGCTTAGTGCTCAGTACCCGGTTGTTAGTGCCTCCCAAGATAGTTACAATGTCTGTGGCTCTACTTGTTTATGACAAACAGAGTGAGCAGTATAAGTTAAGAGATACATGGAATTGCCTGGTGTGGAGAAAGTGGGCAGGGTGATAGTAAATCACTGAAGTTGAATGATGAGATTCAGGAAATACTTTTAAAAAAACTTCATGGAGTATATAGTTAAGTGTGAAATTCAGTATCACAACATTTGGAAGATCCAACAGGTAGCTTTTTAATGGAGTACATTGGTAGAAGATAAGATGTTAGATAGCTTTTAAATGGGATACATCGGTAGAAGATAAGATCAGTGGTGTGTTGTTATATGCCTTTAAGGCATCTCCAAATTACGGCGAACTTATCTCAGGTCTTTCTTGGCAAGATTTCTGCACAGGAAGTTTGTTGTTGCTGGAAGAATGGCTTGTGCAGAGTCATATGGTGGGTTTCCATGTCTAAGAGGGGATTTGAAAGCTGATCTGCAGTCCTAGTCTAGCACCTAAATCACTACACCACACTGACTCATCAGAGGCTCATAGACTCCATATTACATTTAGTACCAGAGGCAGTATGCTTTTCTATACAAGTTACTAAGGACATGAGGGGAAAGGTGTTAACTGTAGTCATTATCTGCTTCTGGGTTTTCCATAAACATCAGGTTGACCACTGAAGCGGGACTTTGGACTAGATGAGCCTTATCTTTGATCCAGCAGGATTCTTTTTTCTGTTCTTATGATATATATCTTTCTTTGTCAACTTACCTTCTTTCTTTTTAGTGGGTATCCCTTCTATTAAATGGTGTGGAGCTGAAGGTGACTATAATGTCATGGTGATGGAACTTCTAGGACCCAGCCTGGAAGATCTCTTCAACTTCTGCTCTCGCAAATTCAGCCTCAAAACAGTTCTGCTTTTGGCAGATCAGATGGTGAGTTCTTGTTTGGTTCTTAACCTCTGTTCCTTAGATCAGGCCTGTACAACCTGTGGCCCTCCAGGTGTTTGGGACTCTTACTTCCAGAAGGCCTAGCCAGATTGTCCAATGATAAGGAATTCTGGGAATTTAGTCCAAAACACCTGGAGGGCCACAGGTTATGCAAGCCTGCCTTAGATTCATGTGAGCATTTGTTTGTGGTTCACCATTTCCGCAGGGACAGTATGAGAGGTAATGTCCAAAGTAAGCCCTTAAGTAAGAATGCAGAACATTTGCAGAAATAGTACACCATCTTCTACATGTCCAGTTATTGCTGAATAAAAAGATAGGTGTGATGACCTCTGTCCATTTCAATGGGTGCATGTCCAGCTTGGGGAAAAAGGCATTTTATTTGCTGTATAACTAGTAGTTCTATGACTGCATCCTCATTTTTGTTTTCTTGTGGAATGAATACATGAGGTTCCCCAATCTCTTTTTGAGTCTAAATCTCAGTACACAGTGAATCTTTATCATGTGTGTGCTTCTTATTGTTGAGGTAGTTTCTGTGCTTTCACAACATCTTCCTGTTCTTCTGTTTTGTCCTGGTTTCTCCCAACCAATTTCAGATCAGCCGTATTGAGTATATTCATTCCAAGAACTTTATCCACCGAGATGTAAAGCCAGACAACTTTCTTATGGGTCTTGGCAAGAAGGGAAACCTAGTATACATCATAGACTTCGGCCTGGCAAAGAAGTACCGTGATGCCCGCACCCATCAACATATCCCTTACCGGGAAAACAAAAACCTGACAGGCACAGCCCGCTATGCCTCTATAAACACCCATCTTGGGATCGGTAAGTTTGGTTTTTATTCATATGTTTCAGAGAATGGAACATTATGGAAAAAGATCTATTTACTGCCATCCCTCCACATTGGTGATTTTGACTTCTGCAGATTTTATTATTCATAGATTTGATTTAAAATGTTCTTTCTAGGTCTACTAGTGTAACTCTGGTCAATGTTCCCCAATCATGCTGGAGGACCTCCAGATTTCTAGAGTGAACACTTCTCTGGAATCTCTAGATCCTCTAATTCAATCCTGTGTTCAGTTCCCAGCCATGGTAACCATATTGTTGAGTCGAAAGACCTAAACATTTCTCTCAAGTAAATGAGAAATGTCTTTATTTGCAGTTTTTCATTTCCATGGTGGTCTTGTGCTCTTCACCCCAGTCAATGTAGATGGCTGACTGTACTATATATCATTCCACAGAAAGGGGGGAATGGCAGCATCACCTCAGATAGCCAGCCACTCCTAGCCTTCTCCTTTCCCACCCAAGCATTCAAAAAGGCTAGAAGTGACTCTCAGAAACTTTTAGCTGCATAAATAATCCAGGCACTCATTTGTCTATGTGTTTTGATTGCTTTAAACTAGTTGGAACTAGTTCAGAGGTTTTACAAACCATCTGACCAGATATTTAATATCCAGGCAGATTACTTTTGTGCTATGCTTGTTACTTTAAAAAAAATGAAAATAAGGAAACTAGGAAGTTATTCCAGAAAGAGGCAACTGAAATGACCAGGGAGTTGGGCATCTTTCCCCAGCAGGAAGAAATAAGAATTTTTTTGTCTTTTAGTTCTGCAGGGTGGCTTGTAAGGTCACAGATTGCCTAGAAAGAGCCAGACATAAAATGTCTTTTAGTGTACTGAATGTCAGATCCTTCAGTGACTTAAGTTGGTGAAAAACCACCTAAGCTGTGGACCTACCACAATTAATTATGCAGTGCATGAACAAGGGCTTCTTGAAACACTTGTGCACACAATATACAATTCACTGTGTTGGATGCAGTGCTTAGATGATTTCCTTTTTCAAAAGATTGGATAAATGTGTAGGACCTTTCAGTGGTAGCAATCTTAAAACTGAACCAGCATTTTAAGAGGTAGTAATTGCAGTTGTTGCGACTTTATGTACACAAGTTACTCAACACTGAAGATGCAAAAGTTTTCATTTCAGTTCTAGGATATAGCACCACAAAATCAAAAATTTTGAACATGTGTCATATGTTTAATCTTGGTTCTGTGTACTTTCATATGTATTTTGTAGAAATATGTTTCAATATGTGTATTTTATGGAATGTTTTTAGATAATTTGTGTGTTTTTAATCTTGTAACCCGCCACAAGGAGAGGGGGGTAAGATTTATTATGATTGTTGCTATTATATGGAAAAGTCAAAGGGTATGAATACTTTTACTGGGCACTGTTGAACTCTGGACAAGATGCTGATTGGAGCCACCAAGGCAGCTTCTGTGTTGTTCTGAAAGTTGTGAACAGTTTGTGCCACTGAAAGGAATAGGAATCCACTACAAAGTCTGAAACTTCTGAACACTGGACTGATGCCCTATTCATGGTTACATGTCAACATTTTAATCAACTTGACACTTAGTACTAGGTTATTGGTACTGACCACAAGTATAACTCAATAAATTGCCATTAGGACATCCAGTTGTTGGCTTGCAGAACCATAGAAACTGAGCTAATCCTTTATTCCTCTAGGTACAGATACAATCTGTTTCCCTCCTGGGAATTTGAACATGCAAATAATCTTTACAGCCACAGGGAAATGCTTGGTCTGCAGAATATCAGCACTATTTTGCAACTGATTAAAGCAGTGATGCTTCTGTCTGGAGGGTTGGGGGTTCTTTTCAGCCTATGTTTGTGACTATTATCTGGTTGCATCAGATTGTATTTATTTACATTGACTTTAGACCGCAGAGTGGGGGATGTTTCTTCCTTCAAATAACTATGTTCTTGCTATTGTCTTTGCTGAGTGACCATGTTACCAGCAATATAAAACTGATTGTAGGTAGATTCTCATTTATGAGGGCGAATTTTGCATAAGAGTACAAGGGATTTAAATCTTTCCCGTTGGTATTCCTTGTCACCAAACTGTAGGAGGATTTGAAAAGGGTTTGTATAAATTAGTAATAGTGCTCTAAGAGTAAGTATTTTGGGTTATTTTATAGAATTACTTCAGCCGACCCAGGCCTGTACAACCTGAGGCCCTCCAGCTGATTTGGCCTCTTAACTCCCAGAATTTCTTGCCATTTGATAAGTTGGCTAGGACTTCTGGAAGTTGGAGGCTAAAACAGCTGGAGGGCCACAGGTTGTTCAGGCCTGAACTGAGCCATTCCCAGTCCACAGGCTAATTACTAGCTGTGTTGGGTGCACTTGATCCATACAAGCTTTCAGCCAGGATTCTTGGATGTGGTTAATGCCTCTGGAAATTGAATGTGTGCCCAATGTTCTCCTAAGGCTTTGATTAGTAGGAAGATGGGTAATGTGCGATAATTCCTTTTGAGAGAGAAACAATGGCAAATAAATGTAATAGCAATCATCCTCATCCAGAGACTCTGAAACAGTGTTGAAGTTGTTGGTTTGAGGTGCCGATAGGGCTAGTGTTATTATCCTTATCCCTGCACTCCATTTTGTGACCGCAGATCCCCCACCAGTTTCTTAAAACCCCTAATCCCATTTTTTAAAAGGTGGGCACAATTTGCAGAAACATTTTACCTCCAAAATCTTGTAGAAAGCCCTCCAAATGCAAAATTCCCCTACCTCCACAAGGCGCCCACAATAGTGTACTATCCCCAAACATGTTTTCTTCTGCAGTGTCTCTCAAAATGGTCACTGGAAATGATGCAATTTAACTTTCTGTTGCCATTTTCAAAGGAATTACAGAAAGCAAATTGAAATATTTGGTTTACTGTTAGGAGAGCTATCGCCCATGAAGACTTAGGAGGAAAATTAACCCCTGGCCCCCATGCAGTTACCCATACTAGCTCATAATCTCAAAATAAGGATCTTCAATGAAATTTGTCAATATGTCTTGAAGAAATTATTTCAAACTATCTTCCATACCCTGTAGATCAGGCATGGGTAAACTTCGGCTCTCCAGGTGTTTTGGAATTCAATTCCCACAATTCCTAACAGCCTACCGGCTGTCCAAAACACCTAAAGGGTCAAAGTTTGCCCATGCCTGCTGTAGATCCATCCTCCAGTATGATCTGGTAGAAGTTGACCATATTTTACTTTTAAAAACTGTGGTTACAACTAAAGTTCTTAGTTTAAAAAGAAAGTAGCACAGCCATTGGACTTCTGAACCATGTTCTGGAATAATATGCATTGCTGGAGATTTACTTAACTAGCGTGCCATGATCTATTTTAGGTAGGCTTACCAATTCCATTTACCCTAGGCTAAATGCAGCATGCCAGTCATATATTGCTGCCTGTCTTTGGACAGACAGGCAGACTGCATTAACATCAATCCTGAATTACTGAAACCTTTTTAAGAATAATGGTTTGAGAAACTTGTTATGGGGCAGGCCCAAATGGATTGTCCAAAGTCTTGTAAAGAGTCGAGACAAGAACTATAATTGGAACCTGCAAAGCTTTTATTTGGACGGTTGACAAAACATTACAATTATTCAGAGCCTGGTTCTAAAAAAGAAAAACACAGGTCCTGCAGTTAGCAAGGTTGGAATAAAATGTAAGTGTTTGTGTCTGGGTTTGGCTGCCTAGTGCATTTTTTATTCAGTCATCTTTTAATGTGATTTTAGGGAGGAGGAAAAGAACTGCGTTCTGTTCTGTTGAATTTGCTTGGCTTTGAATGTAAGGAATGTTCATTTGAATGCACAGTGAAAGAATGATCCCATCCAGAAAACAGGCAGGGTGGATATTTAATGACATCTGAAGAAAATAAACTAGAAAAGAAAATGATACGTAGATAGCAAGATTTGGGTGGACCCTTAAGCCTGATCCTGCAAAATTGTTGTTGTTGTGTTTTTTTAAAAACAAACAAACTGGGAGGAGCCATTTGAAAATTCAGCCTCTTGATTCACACATTCCTGTCAATTTCTGCATGCTCAGAAGATGACTTCCAGCCTGTCCTGCACCCTTTGGAGCTCATGATAACTGAAATAGACACCCAAAGGTGCCCAGCAAAGTGTCTGTAACAGACCCTGTCTGGAGGAGTGGTGTATAAATATACTAGTGATTTTTTTTCACATGCTTGTAATTTATTCTCTGCGTTATATCCCCGCCACACATACATCTGCCGGGGAATACCAAGCAGAGTCCTAGACCTTTCCTATTGAGCAGGCTGTCTAGCAGTTACAGATGATGTCATGTCAAAATAATGACACATTATTAACATGAATAATTCCATGTTGGCTGGGGGATTCTGGGAGATGAAAAAGATGTTTTTCAAACTGATTCCTAGAAGAGTTTCTCTTGATTTTCATTGCTCAGAACGGGGTGTAGGACAAGTTGTGTATGTTCAAGTCATTTCTGACATATAGTGGTCCTAATATGAACATGTCACAGGGTTTTCTTGGCAAGATTTGTTCAAAAGAGATTTGCTGTTGCTTTCCTTAGAGGCTGAAAGAGTATGACTTGCCCAAGATCACCCAGTAGGTTTCTTGGTCAAGTGATTTGAACTTTGGCCACCAGAGTCATAGTTGAACATAGTACCACTTTTCTCCTTCTTGGACATTGCTGGATCTTACATAAAACTAGCCTGCATTACAAGTAGCTTAACTCTTGTCAAGTCCAAAGAGTTCTGTGGTGGGATTGATCTTGAATCGCCAGTTCTTTTGTCTGTGGCCTCATCCAGAAGCAATTAAGAAAAATATGTTCTCCCTGGTGCTTCAGACACCTTGTTGCTTACTGCTCCTGCTAAAGCATTTATTTTATATTCTTCCTTTCAGCCCAAAGAAACGTTCAGCCATGTTAGTGTTCTTGAAAACGGCCCGGAAGCTTCAGCTGGTTCAGCGTGCGGCAGCCATGTTACTAACTGGA